TGTGTGTGTGTGTGTGTGTGTGTGTGTGTGTGTGTGTGTGTGTAATTATGTATGTAAATTTAAAAACACAAATAATAAGATTCCTTCTATTACAATGAATAAATTACAAAATAATAAGATATTATTAAAAATGTACATTTTAAACAAACGCGAATTTCATATACCGGGTGGGTGGATATGTGTTAACCTAATTCTTATTTGAAAAATCTAATCGTATTTTTTTTTCTTTTTCTTTTTCTTTTTTCGTATCATTTAAAAGAGTGTATCATTTTACTAATCGCGTTTCTTTGTTTGAAATGCGGTTAACGTGACAAAAATCATCGATACGGAAAAAAAAAATCGCTGATGAAACAGAATAGAAAGTGGGAGAGAGAAAACGAGAGAGAGAGAAAGAGAGAGAGAGAGAGAGAGAGAGAGAGAGAGAGAAAGTAGACTTGGAATGTATTGATTTTTCAACACACACACACACACACATATATACTTGCCTACGTATCGTGGGATTTTCTTCGGATTATACTGCGACCTCTCTCTCTTTCTCTTTCTCTTTCTCCCTCTTTTTTTCTCTCTCTCTTTTCTTTTTTCTCTTTTTTCTGGAACATCTTCCAACTTTTTCTGTAACCTTTGGCAGATTGAGCGAAAATCTACGACGTGTGAAGCGCGATAAAGAAAACTGCTACTACATACAGTGGTATCGTTTTTTTTTTATTTTTTTTTTATAAAGGGTGTCCCAAATTTAAAGACTCCTATCCCCACAAAACTACTACACTCCTGTTGTTGAAAAAAAAAAAAAAAAAATCGTTTGAAATACTTCAGAGATAGAAGATGAAATAAACTGAATTTTTGAATGGAAAGTTGAGATTTCTTAATGGGAATTTAAATAAATCTGAAACTTAAATTTACGATTAGTAATTTTACAAAATCTCAATTTAATTCTAACAAATTATATATTGTTTAACAGATTTAATAATTCACGGATTATTTTAATTGGTTCTACTTTCTCAATTATTTTATCAAAATATTATTTTACATAGACATAATTTTTGAAAAATTGTTTATACGTTTACATATGAAACACCTTGTTGAATTAAAAGTTATGAGTTAATGTTATGGGAATTAAAATAAATTTAAAATATGATTCATTAATAAATAAATAATTATAAAAATTCGTCCTATTTTACTTATGTTAGTAATTTGAAAATATTTCAATTTAATTCTAACAAATTATAAATTGTTTAATAAATTTAATATCTCATTAATTATTTTAATTTATTCTTTTATGTGATTATTTTTATCAAAATATTAATTTTCTAAAACCACATAAACATATTTAAGTAATTGTTTATACATTTATATTTGAAACATCTTGTATATAATTCTATATATATATATATATATTAAAAGGAAAGGAAGAAAAGAAAATAGCATTTCCTTTTTCGAACGTAACGAACTTTCACATCTAATATTTTAAAAAGAAATATTCTTTTTCGTCACTGGCCATATAATGGCGTCAGTATTTCTACCCATGCAAAAGGGGGTTAATTAAACTTTTTCTTTTTCTTTTTCTTTTTCTTTTCTATTTTTTTTTCTCTCTCTCTCTCTCTCTCTCTCTTTTATTTCCTCTGATTTTATTTCATCGTCTTTCCCCTCTTTCTTTCTTACTGGTTTTTTTTCTTTCTTTTTTCTATTTTATTTTATTTGATTTTATTTCTTTTTTTTCTTTTTTTTTTTTCTTAATATTTCTCACGACACAGATATTTTCAACGTGACCGTAAAAAGCAATTAAATGCTTCGTTAAAACTTCGAATTCACCTAATTAGTTTCCGTTTCATTGATACGTTTCTTATTCTTGTACTTTTCGGAACAAACTTGGTTTTTTCTTTTTATTTTTGTTGTTTTTTTGTTTGTTTTTGTTTTCTCTCTTCTTTCCTTTCTTTCTCTCTCTCTCTCTCTCTCTTTTTCTTTCATTTATCCTTCCACCCCATCATATTTTTATAATAAAATACATACACATGTACACATGAAAAAACATTGTTATTTGTATTCAGGTGAGGATTTGATTTCAATCGATTTGAATAAAATGTTAATTCCCCATTTATAGAGAAAGGAAAATGGGAGGAGGGGGCGGTTAGAGGGTTGTTAGGGGGTGGTTAGGAGTTGAATTAAAAGGGGTTGATTTTAAGGGTAGGGATAATACGGATTAATTCGAGCTCGTTAAGTCATCGATTTTGATTCATTACGCACCAATGAAAGATATTATCATTTATTTATATATGTTTCGTTTAAATTAACGAAATGATTATTCGTAATAAACAAAAGGAAATAAAAAAACAATATAAATGATTATTAACGTTTTGTTAGGTATTAATCTTTGCCATCGTCAGTTCTATCAATTATTCAATTGTACGGAAAGTAAATTATTATTATTATTATTATTATTATTATTATTATTATTATTATTATTAATATTAATTAGAAAGTATTGTATTGTTAATAATAAAATACATTTGAATGAAATAATTAAATTCATTGGTGAATATATGAATTATAATGATTCAAATGAAATACAATTTTTTGTTCATTTGAATTGTGATAAAGAATCACTTTTTGTTTATAATTAAATTTATAAAATCATAATTAAAATAATAATATATATTAATTATTATATTAATTAAATATTATAAATAATATAATTAATTAATATAATATATAATATGTAATATTGTATAAAATATTATATAAAATTATTTATTAAATAAATAATATTATATATTAATTATATATTAATAAATTAATATTATAAATAATATAAGTAATTAATATAATATATAATATAATATTATTT